TTGAATGAACTGATTTGTGGAGTGCATGTGAGGTTGAGTGGCCTTTTCGAAAACCAAATTGTTCATTACTGAGAATGTCATTAGCAGTGAAAAAGGTATAAAGCCGTTTGTATATTATTTTTTCAAATATTTTACCAAAGATTGGCAATATTGACACAGGTCTATAATTTTCAATATTTTCTTTATTATCTTTTTTATGGATAGGAGTTACTTTGCCTATTTTGAATATGGATGGGAACGTGCCTTTTTGAATACATGTATTATACAAATTTGCTAATATGTTGGATAAGAGATGAGCCGGTTTCTTGATAACTGCTATTGGTATATCACTGGCTTTTCCGTTAACGAATTCTTGAATTATTTCAAGAATCTCCTCAGGATGAGTTTCTTCTAGATGTATTGAACTGTTGACTGATTTCGACATAAACTCAACAAATGATTGCATTGGTTGGATAGACAGTTGGTTCTCGGACAAAACCTTCTCATTTAAGGCCACAGGGGGGGGTCCGAGGTCGATTTTGAGATTTTGAGATATGTTGTAGAGCTCGATCTAAATTTTCAAATGCTTTTGTCCTTACCGAAAACAAAGTTTCCTATTTGAAGATATCGCGCGTTGAATTTTGAGGTTTACCTGTAATTCTATTGTAAATGAAAACTTTAAATGAAATCGTGTTCAAAATCTATCTTCTTTTTCAGTTTATGACTTAGAACCTTGTAACTTGGCAACAATGTTCTTCAAGGTATTTTGAGTTTTTGTTATGTAACGATTTATGATATCTTGCTCCAAAGCTGAGATATGAGGTTAACCATGAGTGCGGGTTACAAAATTTAAAATGGTTAACCTCATAATAAGAGTTAGGAGCAAAATTACAACAATCGTTACATAACAAACTTTTAAATTTATGTCAGGAACATAAGTTCCAAATTTGAGGTGAAATGGATAAAAACTCTAGGAGAAGATAGATTTTGAAGTCAAAAATTCGAGGTTTTCAGGAGAGACAAAAAACTGTTTTTTATGTTATGTGATTTTTGAGTATTTTGCCTTTATTTGTATATTTTTCAAAGTTTAACTGCTGAAATAACACAAAAACAATAAAAACAAAGCTTATCGTAGTTTTCAGTTGTAATGGCATCAATATTTCTGCCCTCCATTATCGATTTATCAAAAAAATGAGGTTAAATGAGAATTAGTTAACCTCATTTATAAAAAAAAGTAAAATAGCTACAGAAAAATGAGTGGTGGCAAAGTATCCACCACAAAAATATATATTGATTCAAAGCATAATGTTTTTTTGCATTTTTTAAAGCCTCGACCCCCCCCCTGTGGCCTTAAATTACTAGCTAAAGATGTAAAGTAACTATTGAATTTGTTTGCAATTGTCCGCCTACAAATTACTCTAGTCCCATCTATAATGAAGTCATCTTTTAGCTGATTCTTCTTTTTGCCACGAAGCTCGTTAATTTTTTGCCAGGTTTTTTTGGAGTTATGGCTATTTTTCTCAAACTTTTCAGCATAATACCTGGTTTTGGCAGTTTTTATGGCAATTTTAAGATATTTTGAGTAGTCCTTGTAAACATTATGTCTTTCCAGATCCCCATCTGGAATTAACAATGTTTTTGTTTTTTTCCATTCAAAATAAAGTCTGGCTTTTTTCTCCACAGAGTTGATAAGGCCGTTTGTGATCCATGGATTTGTTATATTATTTCGTTTGGTGGTTTTTGGTGAAGCCAATTTGCAAGATATATCTATCTTTTCTTGAAACAGATCCATGAAGGATTCAAAAGAGTCACATCTGTGGTAAAATGTATCTATGTCGTTTTCAATTTCTTCACAGAGCTTATCAAGGTTTGCATTACTATAGTTATAATAAATGGTTGTTTTTTCAGGTGATTTATTCTGTTCCGAACTAGTATCAGAATTCATTACTTGAAGGCAGAAAATGGGCTGGTGATGTGAAGCACTATCCTGAATTACTCCAGATATAGTTGATGAGTGAATGTCATTAGTGTGTATGTTATCAATGCACGTTTTTGAGCAGTGGGGCATTTGGTGTGTGGGAATGGATATTGTGGGCGTAAACCCGTGACTATAAATAACTTCTTCGAATATATCTTCATCTGGGCCTGATAAATTGGTTATGTTAACATTGAAGTCCCCTAATATGTATGCTTTATGTCCTTTCAGTGCAGTAAGAACTTCTTTATACTGTGCATTGAAGTTAGCAAGTGGATTGCTTGGTGAGCGGTATACAACTCCAACTGTTACTGGTTCTGGAGCATTACTTATTGTTACGAATAGGGACTCAAATTGCTCTGTACAAACAGATAACTTTTCAATCACACTAAAGTTAAAGGAGTTGTGAATGTAGAGAGAAACTCCACTTCCTTTACTTTTTACCTGTTGTGTCTTATTAGAAACGAAGCGTTTTTGGTAACATGAAGTATAGTCTTTAATTTGGTACAGCTGACTATTACAGGGATCAATGTTTGTTTCTGCTAAACCTATCACAGAAAATTTGTGGTCTATGCAGGCTAATTCTAAGGCCAATTTGTCAAAGTTAGTACCATTTCCATCAATATTTCGAAAGTAGTGTGAGAATATGCGCTTTGATGTTGTTTGAGGAATCTGCTTTATGAGGTTGTTGAAGTTTTTAGTAGAATATGATTGACAGTTCTCAAGAGTTTTTGAGATTGTACCTATTGAGTCTATATAGTCGTGAGGTTCATTGTCAAGTAGTTCGTTGTTTGAAAAGTGAGGTGCTTGATAGAATGGATTATAACGAATTATATCATGATTTTGAATACAATTTGAGCAGTAAGTTTTTTCTCTAAAAGTGGCAATGTTTTCCTGTGTTTTACATCTCTTGTGAATGATGCAATCACACTTATTGCAATTTATAAATGGGTGTCCAGCACGAATAGGTTTGCTGCAGCAGATACAGTTCTCACATATATTTGTTCTATTCATGGTTTCGGAGCTCTTTGAACACGTGAATTGAACATCCCAACTTTACTCCTAGCAATATCACTAAATTGGCGCCCATCTATTGGATTGCGCTGTATTTTATCCACTATTAGCCTAGACAACTTAAAGATACCAGTAGACCCAAGATGGATGGCATCACTTTTATCCTTGAAACGACCGAACTGGTCAGCTGGTTTACCATCTTCACCAACAAATTCATTAAAATCTAGAGTTCCCACCCTTGGGTTCATGTCAACATATTGAAATATAAGTTTGTTAAAATATAATGCTTTCTCGTTCAACCAGCCAAACTTAGTGGGTAGTACTGGCGAAACGGTAACCTTGGAGTATGGACATTTACGACATATATCATCAAGTTTTACCTTGAGATCACTGGCACACTGCTCGATATTTGAGCTCCGTTTCTTAATATCATTTACTCCACAATGAATAAAAATATTTCTGTAACCTTCACACAAACTTGGGTTAATCATATCAATAGTAAAACATTCTACCCTTTTCCCTGGCATTTTATGACCGAAACGTCCTTTCCCACTACCGAATTTCAAGAATCTGGTGTTGGAGTCTCCTATTATTATTGTTGCATTTTCGTTGTTAGATGTAACATAACGAAATGTAACACTATATCTTTTCTCACGTGTGGTTGGAGATTGATCTATTTGATGTTGCCAAACAGACTGAGATTGCTTACTCATAACATATAGACTTTTTCCAGTAGCTGATACAGTTTTGGTTTCAGATCCTTCGATTTTACTGAATAGAACATCACAGGTACTGCCTAGTGATATAGTGAAGATGTTACTATCAAACATTAGTGAGGCTTCGTTGTCCGAATGCTTCGGCAGCTCTGATTTCTCGTCAAGGTAGCGATTCACTAAACACTGATTAATGACACTTTCAGGGAATTTGGCCTGGATGAGCGAAACAAGTTCAGTTAGGGGTTCAGGGATGTTTTTGGATATAGGTTTTGCAGCTTTGGCTCCTGGATAGTTGTATGCATCCCCAAAGCTTATGACACCATGTCCTCTTTCTGAGTTTGCATCAAACTGTTCACTGAATGTGTCAAGGTATTCAGTGAGTTTATCCGAAAGTTCTTGGGCAACAAAATCTGGTGTGAATGACTCAATGTGACCAATGGAGGTGTCTATAGGATTTTGCACTGTATGTAAGTCAATCTTAGGATCTGGTTTTTCGATATTGATATAAGGAAGGCCTATTTGGAAAGAAGGAAATGCAGTGTTACGTGGTACATCTGGAGTTGACATATCTGATGGTTTCATGTACTGATCAATGGAGAGAGTCAGGGTGTTAAGCTGGCCACTGATTGATTTGAGAGTGTCATTGTGCACCTTATCTCTCTTAAGAATGCTATTTTGAATAGCCTGAAGGGATTCATGGAGGGTAGCATTTCCAGAAATGGAGTCAGCAGCTACGGAAGAAGCAACTGCTGCTTCATCGATGGGGTTGTCACCGATAGACAACCTTTTACCCCCTATTACTGCACATACTTTCTCTGACAGAGAAAGTAGGGACAGAAGGCCGTCTGCCAGGGTATATTTGTTAAGTGTTGAACAGTTTTTGATGATTGTAGGGGTCAACGTTGCAAATTGGTCTACTTCTACTTTCAAAGTACTACAAAAGTTCAGTTTGATATTGTCTACTTCAGATCGTAAGTTTTTTGAATGGGCCAAAAGAATTGTATCAAAAGGTGTTGAAGCATTGGTACAAAATGAAACAAAACTGCTTACGTCTGCTTCACAGTCCTCAGGGGTTCTGTTCTCTGCAACAGCTTCTAAGGATTCAGGTGCAGCAGGGGCTGATGTCTGATTGTCTTCAATCTGGGACCCCAAATCATGCCTTTCATTGTCATTTCCTTTGTTATCTTCCTGAAAGACATAATTTGAGGTACCCAGCCCCACTGGCTGTTGATCGGTTTGACCGGATTCCACCATTCTCAAAGTGAGATGGGGTTAAGCAAGTTCAAGATAGAGACTGCTCAGCGGTTTCGGGTCCTCAAATTATTTGTTATATAGTAGTGTTGAAAGTTTTTTCATCTTGCTACCAAGATGAAAAAACAGTGGAAGAAGCTATGGATCGTAGTCTGATGTACCAAATCCGATAAGGACAACAAATTATTCTGAGAAGAATCTTGATCTCTTGGGCTTGGTCCCTCTTCATTTAACCCTCAATCACGTTTCCGATCATTTGGCTGTGTCTGAGCAGACTTAACACAAATGCGTCATTTCACACAGATCCAATGAATCCTTAGCTACTTATACTCCATAGACTAGTCTATGATGGGGGGGTGTCACGTCCGTCTATGTCCGCTTGTCTCATAGAATCCAAAAAGGACAGGACATAGGCGGACATAGGCGGACATAGGCGGACATAGGCGGACATAGACGGACATAGGCGGACATAGACGGACATAGGCGGACATAGGCGGACATTAATGGACACCTTAATTGCTAAATAAAATGTTCAATTTATGCTGTTATAGGGGGGATCATGTTTTTTGTCCGTTCGGTACCCTATATTTTCAAAACGAACAAAAAATAGAGCGGACAAAAACGGACAAAAATGGACAAAAACGGACAAAAATGGAAATAACATTTAGATGCTTCCTCCTCCTACTCTTCCTCCTCCTCCCCCTGGGTCTTCCTGATCTTCCTCAGTCCTCTTCCTCCTCCCCTCCTCAGTCCTCCTCCTACTCCTCCTCCTCGTCCTCAGTCCTCCTCATCAGTCCTCAACAGTCCTTCTCCTCCCCAGTCCTCCTCCTCCTGAGTCCTCCTCCTGGGTCCTCCTCCTCCTCTTCATCCTCCTCCTCTTCCTCCTCAGTCCTCAGTCCTCCTCAGTCCTCCTCCTCATCCTTCTCCTCAGTCCTCCATCCTCCTCCTCAGACCTCAGTCCTCCCCCAGTCCCCCTCCTCCTCCTCCTATTCAGTCCTCCTCCTCCTCCTCCTCCTTCTCAGTCCTCCTCAGTCCTCCTCCTCCTGAGTCCTCCTCCTCTTCCCTCTCAGTCATCCTCCTCAGCCATCCTCCTCAGTCTTCCTCAGTCCTCCTCCTCAGTCCTCCTCCTCCTGGGTCCTCCTCCTCCTCTTCATCCTCCTCCTCTTCCTCCTCGGTCCTCAGTCCTCATCCTCCTGGGTCCTCTTCCTAATCCTTCTCATCAGTCCTCCTCCTCCCCAGTCCTCTCCCAGTCCCCCTCCTTCTCCTCCTCCTATTCAGTCCTCCTCCTCCTCCTCCTCCTCCTCAGTTCTCCTCAGTCCTCCTTCTCATTTCTCCTAAGTCCTCCTCCTGAGTCCTCCTCCTGAGTCCTCCTCCTCTTCCTTCTGAGTCCTCCTCCTGAGTCCTCCTCCTCCTCCCTCTCAGTCATCCTCCTCAGTCATCCTCCTCAGCCATCCTCCCAAGCCATCCTCGTCAGCCATCCTCCTCAGTCCTCCTCCTTCTCAGTCATCGTCAGTCCTCCTCCTCAGTCCTCCTCAGTCCTCCTCCTCCTCCTGGGTCCTCCTCCTCCTCCTCCTCCTGGGTCCTCCTGGGTCTTCCTGATCCTCCCCAGTCCTCTTCCTCCTCCCCTCCTCAGTCCTCCTCCTACTCCTCCTCCTCGTCCTCAGTCCTCCTCATTAGTCCTCAACAGTTCTCCTCCTCCCCAGTCCTCCTCCTCCTCCTGGGGCCTTTTCCTGGGTCCTCCTCCTGGGTCCTCCTCCTCCTGGGTCCTCCTCCTCCTGGGTCCTCCTCCTCCTCAGTCCTCTTCCTCCTCTTCCTCCTCCTCCTCCCTCTCAGTCATCCTCCTCAGTCATCCTCCTCAGCCATCCTCCTCAGTCCTCCTCCTTCTCAGTCCTCCTCACTCCTCAGTCCTCCTCCTCCTGAGTCATCCTCCTCAGTTCTCCTCCTCCTCCTCCTAGGTCCTCCTTCTGGGTCCTCCTCCTCCTGGGTCTTCCTGATCCTTCTCCTCCCTCTCAGTCATCCTCCTCAGTCATCCTCCTCAGCCATCCTCCTCAGCCATCCTTCTCAGCCATCCTCCTCAGTACTCTTCAGTACTCTTCAGTCCTCAAAATGTTTGTCCGCTAATGTCCACCAATGTCCGCTAATGTCCACCAATGTCCACCAATGTCCACCAATGTCCATCCAAGTCCGCCAATGTCCGTCCGGGTCCGCCAATGTCCGTCCGGGTCCGCCAATGTCCGTCCGAGTCCGCCAATGTCCGTCCGAGTCCGCCAATGTCCGTCCGAGTCCGCCAATGTCCGTCCGTGTCCGCCGATGTCCCAAAAAACACGTCCGTTGTCTCATAGAATCCAAAAAGGACAGGACATAGGCGGACATAGACGGACATGACACCCCCCCCCCCCTATGATAAATAGATAGCATCACATGACATTTGCAGGTTGCAAAGACAATGATGTGTTGTTTCACCACTGACTCTTCAAGGTCCAATATCTGTTAACTTAAAAACCCCTATATATCTGGGTTGATATATTGAGACCCTGTGCAAGGTTATGTATGTAGAATTTTTTTGTAAGTCGCGTCGGCTGACATCTTGGGTTGTACTGGATGTAACAAGTTTATTATCGGATGTCTACTTATATTTATTATGATATCATTATTCATTGTAATGGCAATAAAATTTAAATTTTGTTTTACTAAAAAATTTTGTTTTACTAAATTTAAAAGAATTGGAGACAATTCTGGCAAACCGAATTCTCTCAACGTGCTCTGGTGAACCCAGTGAAGTTGTTGAAAATAAGACAAAGTTTTCTGTTGAATAGGAAGCTGTTCACATACTTCTAGACACTCCATAATCAGACCAATTTTTCATGGGATCTTTTTCCACAAACTATCAAAAGTCTTATCAAAGCTAGAAAAGACAAATGGCGTTTTTTGTTGATTTCAACCTTTTTGTGTACTAATTCTCTTTTTAGTAAATTTTGTAGAAAAGTTTGATACTTGTGCACTCATTTTTATTATTTAGGATTTTTCTCAGTACAGTTTGGTTAAGCTCATGTTCAAATTTGTTTTTTATCATCAACCACTACATTAGTTTTAACCTAATTAAACCACAGATTTAGGTCTAGGGCTAAAACGACAAGAATAGACATGCCTCCTGTTGCGGAAAGTAAGTTGAATGAAATTTCTCATACCTTGCTGATTCTCTTTGATGTAGGTAGATACTGGGTTAACTTTAACTGTACCTAGTCCCTCTACTACTACTCTCCCCAATGCATATCTAGCTTGATATTTTCATTTATACATTGTACAATCCCTTAGAACCCTTCTGGTAATTATATTAGAATACATTGTGCTTACTGTGTATCTTTGGATAAGTGCGTTATTTGCAAATATAATTATAAAGTTGCTCTTCTAGAAAGTTAATTTAAATTTACAAACCTCTTCAGGCACTGATCAACCATTCTCAAACCCTGTTGCTCCTGCACATTTGGGCGATGCTGATGATGCTGAACAAGACAATCTGGTCACCACGTGAGTTCTTTATTGAACATACTCCTGTTTAAAATAGCTAAGAATTAATCATGTCTAACAACTTTATTTTTTATTTCATTTCATTCATGAAATAGTGGTGTCAATTTCAAACGTTTTGTAAATTACGCCCTTTTTATCACTTTGATAAAATTCCAAATACACATAATATGGCAATTGGCGATGATCCCCAGATTGTAATACATGATTGTAGTACAAAATTTATCTGCATTCATAATTTATTTATTGACAACAAATATGCCTTAAAGTTAAATTTTGAAGTAACTAAGAACAATTTTTGCAGGGCAAACTTAACGAATGCAGACTTTCGGAAAATGCTGATGACCCCAGCTCCTAAGCAAGCCAAAGTTAAACCACAAGTGACTATAGCGAATGTTGAAAAAGAAAAATTGAAAGAGCGGGAAAGGAGATTAAAAGAAAAGAAAGTAAGAGTTAATATGCAGTTTTATAACAATGCTTTTTGAAAGTCACACTAACATTTTGTTAACAGTTCATGTGTCAATTTACTAAGCCATAGGAAGTTTTCAATAATTTAAAAAATGCTATTATATATAATAGCATTTTTTAAATTATTGAAATATGTATATATATATACATATTATATATGGAACGTGTTCCAGATTGTGATTTTACAGTATGCCACCTGTCTTATTTGAGCTCACAGACAACCTTTTATTTCTCGTACTATTTATAGTCTGAACCACTTTAAATACTCATCACTTTTTTTCAGAAAAAGAAAGGTGAGTACTTAGAGTACAAAAAGACAACTGAAGCCAGGCAGAAGGAACTGGCTGAACTCTATCGGGACCGTGCTGGTGAGAGAGACAAGAGCAGAAGAGTTTTGAAATTGCCAGTGAAGCCAGTCAGGCTAACCAGTATGCACCTGCTGGGTCAAGTATTGCTTCAGTGGCCGACAGGAGGAAGCAGACCATTCAAGAATCCAAATTCTTGGGAGGAGATATGGAACATACCCATCTTGTTAAAGGTCTAGACTTTGCTCTCCTTCAGAAAATGCGAGAAGAAATCACACGAACTGATCACACAGAGGCTAAAACTCTAAAAAGTGAAACTGCAAAAACAGAAGAGCCAAAAAAAGCAGAGGAAGGAATTAAGTTTAAGACAAAAATGGGTCAATCAATATATCGTGCAGTTTTCGTTCACAAGCACCCAGAGAGAAACGAGCTATTTGCACAAAACAGAATGGCTTATCAGGTGGAACTTGATGATGAGTACGCGGAGACAGACATACCTACCACTCTAATCAGAAGCAAAGCTGAGGCCAAAGCCAGCATAGAGAAGAGAACACTAACTAATAACGACATTGTTATCAACAAACTGACCCAAATTCTATCGTACTTGCGTCAAGGTAACAGATATGGTAAACAGAAGTTCAAGAAGAAAGAGAAGAGGAAGTTCGAAACAAAAGCCCCCACGGGACCCGCAGCAGCAACAGAAGATGACATATTTGGAGGATTGGGAGAGTATGTGCCACCTGGACTGAAAAACCCTGGCAAGAAAATGGACCAAAAACCGATGACTTACTTCAATGAGGTAACAGAGAAGAGCAGGCAGGAGACAGAAGCAAAAGCGCAAGCAGCAGCACAAAAGAGGTCCACTGATGCTCGCCGTATGAGACTTGATGCTCAACAACCAGAAGACAGTTACATGGAGTGCTATCCTGGTGCAATGGAGGAGTCAGGGGCTGCGTATGATTCTGATGAAGATGCAGACTATACTAAGATGGACATGGTATGGCCTAGTTTCCTATTTTAATTTTGTTCCTAATGCGATTCAAAATTAATATTTCAAAGCCCATATGCATGTATGGGCTTTAATATATTAACCCATAAATCAGCTAATAATTTTAAGATTTTAATTCAACAAGACTCACTTTTAAATTTTGATTGTGATCGTAACCATTTGCAGGGAAACAAGAAAGGTCCTTTAACTCGGTGGGACTTCGAGGATGAGGACAAGTATAATGCCTACATGGAAAAGAGGGAAGCTATGCCAAAAGCTGCCTTCCAATTCGGCATAAAAATGAGCGACGGAAGGTTAGTACAGATGACTACTAGTACTGCGTTGACATAATATTTTCAATAATCAGTGGGAATCAGTTTATTATATTAATACTCTTACCTGTAACCTGGGCCGGGTCACATCGTTATATCTATTAACGGTTTCATAATGGTTTCATAATTCATTTTATGCAGGAAAACGAAGAGACAAAAACCAGTGGATGAGAAACAAAAGCTGGATCGTGAGATGCAGAGGATAAACCAGATGATAAACAAACGCAAAGCCGTGGCCAGTGGGGACATGGGAGTGCCCGAGAAGATTGGCAAATACTGAGGGACAGCAGCTAACGGTTTTGTTTATCTCAACTGCTTGTTAAATGTGAAGTTACTCAATTTGTACAGAATTAAAAAGAGTGAAAGTGAACTGGACTCAGATTGGATATTGATGATGTCCTGTTTAACGCTCTTCAGACCTTGTGGCAAAAAGACAAATTAGTAGATCTGTCAGCTCTTTGCAATAAATCTGCTAAGTCGGGACGATTTCAATTTAGTTTTTAAAGGAACGACCTACAATTGTGTTTGATCACGTCATGGTGTGGTGAATACTAAATATCCCTATATATTTTATATGTATATATTATTTATATGCGTGGATAATCCGAATAATGTAATAATTATTACAGCTTTAACTGTAAAATGGGTTTGACAGTGCAGTACCGTTGAATTCTTTGCGATTTGAACCCCTTATCCGATTCAGAAAATTGCAATTGTTTTATTTCCAATGCTCACCTGGTAGATATTATATGCATTTGTTTAACCACAATTCCATACTAGTTTCTTACTTAGTAAAACGCATTATACCAAGAATAAAGAACATCTCATTTTCATAACTACACTAATTTTAACATGATATTGATAATAAATATTGTAGCATGGGTGTTGAAGAAGTACAAAGAGGGCCGGGTATCACAATCAATGGATGAGTGTGTATATGTACAGAGATGTGTTTCAGTGGACGATTATCTAACAGCGCCTATCCCTCAATTAGATCACGTGACTTGCCCCTTATCTGGGCTCCCTATCAGAAGGGTAAATGTTCAAAACAGTGTGTACTTTCTTACTCGTCACGTTAGCAACCTAAGAACCTATGCCATGAGACTTTTTGACTTTCAGTTATTTACGTGTTCTGTAATCTGTACTGTAGCCGAGCAACAGCTAGGGAGCCGAGAATGATGGAGTTTTAATATTTTAATGGTTGATTGGTTGGTGTGAGCTTGTAATTTTGTCCAGGTACCAGTACTAAGAGTGTATGGAGCTACCCAGATAGGTCAGAAAGCATGTATACACATACACCGAGTATATCCTTATCTCTGTATTCCTGTTCACGAAATTCCTGGAGGAGGAGGTTAGTAACTCTGTTCTGAAGAAGATTGGAACAATTTATTAATTGTTATGCTATGACTTTCACTCAATAAACGCCAGCGCTTTCTTTCGCAGTTTTAAGAATGCAAACTAATTACAGCAGTTGTGGCTCAGGAGATTTTCACTGAGTTAGAAAGCTCCCTAAACAGAAGTTATGGTTCGTCAAACGGCCAGTTCGTCCACAACATCGTCCAAATATCTGGAATTCCATTCTACGGGTTCCACGAAGAGGAGGTAAAGTTTCTGAAAATATACTTCTATCAGCCGAGATACGTAAAACGAACTGCTCAGCTGCTACTACAAGGATCGCTCAGGTAACATTGCAAAAATACAAATAATAGATTTAAATGTGTTCTAGCATTATTTATGGACCTGATAGTCTTTCTTAGTAGACTCCCTCGGTAGACTCCCTCGGTAGACTGCTTAGCTCTTCTCTAACGAATATTGAGAAAAGCTCGATTTTAATTTAAACTGCTATTATTATAAATAAAGCTGTATTTCATTTAAGTATGGTCAGTTTGGTGTAACTGTGCCATAAAACAATCAGACTTCGGAATTTGTTGAAGCTGAATCCGGTTATCTTTCAGAGGAAAGTTGGTTCAGCCACACGAAGCCCATTTTCCGTACTCTCTTCAGTTCCTCACTGACTACAACATACATGGTATGAATCTCATCTACTTCAAGAGAGTGTTTTTCAGGTGTGTGATCTTACAAACCCTATCCATCCGTATTGAAACCTTTCTCGGCAGTTTTCCAAACATTCGCCCTTTACTTTACTTAAGGACACCCCTAAACACCCCTATTAAGAGATAAGATACGACCCACAACACTGTGGGTTATATAGTTATATCTTATCATTACCACTATAAGGGGTATTAGTCTCTACTGCCTTGTACTTCAGGGTAAAGGAAGATCAATATAACAAGTTAACTGTTGGTGAAGACACAAGTTATCTCCAACATGTAAGTATTATTATTATTATCTTAACTATTTGGACACGTCTACATTCCCCTACAAACTATCTCATACTGTAGTAAGATACCTTCTTACTATCTCATATTGTACATGTAGTAAGATACCTTCCTACTTCATTGTTTCCCAAGGTATCTTAGTTATGTAAGTTAGTACTGATATGTGTAAGTTAATACTGATAGTCTCTCTTGACAGGACATAGATGTAAACACGATACCACAAAAACACATGGTGAACCCAGAACTAGCAGTGAAGAAATGTTCCAGTAGTCTAGAACTTGATACAACAGCAGACTGCATCCTTAATATCAACTTTATCGATGTCAATTGTAACCCTGGACTAAAGTAAGTTTCGTGTACTTCCTAACATTAAACATTCCTGAGAAATCTGAAAAGCATTGAGAGTTTTGACATACCTTTCGAAGCTATATTACACAATATTATCATCCTGGTCACACATGATTCACTTTCCAGAGCGATTTGTGAGGAAGAACGACAGCGCCGTCACCAAGCTGGCAACTTCACCCCCTCCAACGTAACAGAAACCCCTCCCCGACGTAAAGCCAGCTTACCCCAGACAAAAAGATGGGAAGATAAACTTGGTAACATCATCCAAAACGCTTCCTGTTTGTCTCCTTCTTCACAGAAATATGACTCAGATGTCGTTGACTTTCTGTTGGATCTAAATGCTTCTCAGTCAAGTTCACAGTTAGATTTCATTGCCTCCCAACGTTCAGATTCTACACCCAGCAAACCGTCATCTCAGAGGTCAAATCCGTTGAGTCAGGGTAACCTTAGCATCTTTTGTAAAGAAGAAGAAAATGAGTCCAGTGAAGACGAAAATGAAATGTCTATTATGATGTCCCAAAGGGTGTTTTATGACACAGCTCCAGATAATCTGAATGTTGAGAACTCTAACACAGCACACACTGCCGTGCAATGCACTGACTCTGATGAGGATTATTTTGATGAAATCACTGCCAGTCAACTTCAACAATTAGACGGGAACAATGAAGTTGAGCCCAGTAAGGAGACAACTCGAAAAAGGAAGAGGTTAGGGGGAAGGCCTGCATTCGCCACGTCATCAAGCAGCCACACTAGTGTAGGATCATTCAATAGGGTCCTGAGAAATTCTCGTCGTGTCGAAGAAAATCTTTTAAAAGAGCAGCCGCAGAAGATTTGTACTAGAGATTCAGGATCTTCAAGAAAGCCCAACAAAAGTAAATTGAATCTTAGTATAAAAAAGAAGACGATCCCTGCTGATGCCATTGCGAGACTCCAACCAGATGGTAAAGAAGCGGCCTCTTGCTCTAAAAAGTCTCCTGAAGATAATGAAAATCCTGCTGATCGTTGTTCTTTAGCTTCCGTTAAAGACGTACCTTCCTCCAAAAAGAGTAGTAAGATTTCTGATTTCATTAATCTAACTCAAAGATCCCCAACAGTTAAAAATAATGTAAGCTCTGCAAGAAATTCTCCTAAGCTTGTGACGAAATTAGATTTTTCCCAAAACTCTCCCGACATAGATTTCAGTCTATCCCAATTTAATGACTTGAAGAATTCTCCTAAAACAACCCAAGAGAAAAGGTACAAAGGCCTCAGAATAGTTTCACCAGGATCTAATAAATCCGTTGAAACACGGCTGTCTCTGTCAAGGAGAAAGAAGAAAAAGAAAATCTCGGCTGCTCGTTCTAAAGAAAAAAATAATCTGCCTAAAACTCCGACAAAAGATAACCCAGGACAAAATCAGCCATTTAATGACGATGTTGTTATACCTAAAAAGTTGTTTTCACCTTCATCAGATTCTCCTAAAACTAAAATACTGAAAGCACTCGGAAGAATGGAACTGGAAAGACTTGATAGCGACCAGCTGTCCATTGATAGTTTCAATACGGAACCAGAAGACACTGTTTTAGGATCTTTAGGTTCTGAGAGTCCTAAGAAGAAAAAATCGCACAAAGATCCTTCTGGTGAAAATGATCATTCGATTAGCCGAGAAATGAAGATAATAGAACAAGAGCAACAGAATGTTGATAACAAAGTTCTGATGTGGCTCACTGAGAGTGAGTGTTCTCAAGATGAACATGAAGACGACTCAGATAGCCAGAAAATAAGTCCCGAAAAGGCTCCTGACAAGGCTCCTTACAAAGTTTCTGACAAAACTCCTGACAAAGTTCCTGACAAAGTTCCCGACAGAGTTTCTGACAAAGTTCCTGACAAAGCTTTTGCTTCTAATCTTGTTGCTGATGACAAGTTTTCTGAAACGCCACCAACATCTGCCAATCCCAGCTGTGAAACAAACCTTACAAGCAAGGCTAGCATTTCTTTTGAATTTTCAAAAGATAGTTTTAGTTATAGTCCCAAGTCACCTGGCTTATCGAGGAAAAGGAATGTAAGCAATGCTTCTAACAAATCCTCAATTTCCTTATTCGATTCTGTCAATCATGAAAAATACTTATCCAATGATTCTTCTACTGACATAATCCAACAATCACCAAAACATGATTGTAGCTCATCTGGTTCAACTAGACCTCCTTTTCAAACAGGCTCCCCCGATCTCTCAAAGATCTCTGTAGCCAGTCCAGTAATTCTATCAAGTTCTCCTGAAATATCCCATGTCTCTGAGGCTAGTCCAGCTCATCGATCAACCTCTCCAAACGACTCCAAGATCTCTGTCACAAGTCCAATAGTCTTGTCTGGATCAGAAGTTGAAAACAACTCCCTGCTGTCGACACCAAGAAACATCGAGTTTGACACATCCATGTTCTTTAGTCAATATCAAGTCGATGAAAATACTGGAATTGTTCGTGAGCCTGAAGTTCAGAACTTGAGATATAAGATCAGTCCACCATCATTTCTAGATTGTCAGAAATACATTCAGCAACCTCGTGAAAATTCTAATATTTCTGCAATTCAGCCGTATTACAGTTCATTGAAAGATGTGCCCGATGCCATTAGGATTGGTGCCAAGCACATTAATTTGAAACACTTGGATACGCTTCCTGACCAGATGTTCTACCCGGAATGTGAAAATGATTTGGGCATATTAGGGCTTGAGAGTTGGGAAGGAGTCATGGAGGAAAAGTATATAAAATCTGAAGTTAGCTTGGTATCTAAGAAGTACAGTTTTAACCCACCAAAACTGTCAGATGCTAGATTATGGCTGATGAAAAAGAAGAAATCTAAAATATCTTTGAATGAATCGCAAACCACCTCATCTTCTGTGTCAGAACAAAGCAAAGTTAAATACCCTTCTGGTGAATCTGATTATCTACTCTCTCCCGAGAATCTGAAAAGCAAAGATGAAACTGAATCGCTTCCTTCTGGAGCCTGTTCTACGCCTATCAACTCAAAAGCGAAATTTTCTAGCCTCCCAGACAAGTTTATAACACCCATTGCCCCTAAAAATCCTATCTCTCGGTTTAAAAAGAAAGTTAAGTTTTCTCCTAGGAACGATTCTTTAAAGCCACCAATAAGTCCGACTCTGGCCATGAACTCTCAGATATCCCATTTATCCAACAACGACTCCTTTAAGTTTGCCATGACTGTACCAATGGGAGACAGCACCAGATCTCACATAGTTCAACATCTCACTGTTATGAGCATCGAAACATTCGCTAGCTCTATCGGAGACAAGAAGTCTGATCCTAGATATGATCCTGTTATATCAGTATTTTACGCTCTTTATAACGATAGTAAGGATGGTATTACAGAAGGCTCTATAACAGTTACTCCTCCATGTAAACCAAAATGTGTCCCTCCTTACACTAACTTTGTGGACAGTGAAAGTGAGGTATTTGAAGAAATATTTAAGATTGTTCACGAGTACGATCCTGACATTCTTGTTGGATACGAAATCAAAACATCTTCTCTCGGTTACCTGATTGAAAGAGCAAACGTCATCGGTTTGAATTTCCAAGCCAACATTTCTCGATTTCCTGAAGAAACAAAGGATGTTAAAGAAGAGGGATCAGAAGAGGGCCCCTCTAACTGGTGGGTTACAGTTTCTAACGAAATACAACTGGCTGGAAGGGTCATCTTAAACTTATGGCGGCTTATGAGAACTGAAGTTAACTTGACTAACTACTCCTTTGAGAGCATTGCTTATCATGTGCTTCACGAAAGAATTCCTAAACTTCCTATGGCTACCCTTGACTCATTCTACCAAGACCCGAAATTTTATTTTAATTTTGCAGACTATTTTATCACCAGAACTCGTAGTAACCTGAGGCTGTTACTCGATCTCAACATAATTGTCAGGACATCTGAAATGGGCAGGCTGTTTGGTATTGAGTTTTTTAATGTGTTATCCCGTGGTTCCCAGTACAGGGTGGAGTCCATGATGTCCCGGCTAGCCAAACCTCGTAAGTTTATCAGTATTAGTCCAAGTCCTGAGCAGCGGGCCATGATGGCTGCCCCAGAGCTTATACCCCTGGTCATGGAACCGGAGTCTAAGTTTTATGGCGATCCTGTTGTGGTCCTGGACTTTCAGTCGTTGTACCCGACCATGATCATTGCTTACAACATGTGTTTTAGCACATGCCTTGGCAGAGTGAACTATCTTGGAACCTACGGAAGCTTTCCATTTGGTGCAACTCATCTCACTGTTCCTCCGAATCTTTTAATGAAATATCAGGAGCACATTTTTGTTTCTCCAAATGGTGTTGCTTTTGTTGAGGATTCAGTGAGACGAGGGGTGCTCCCAATGATGCTTAACGAAATACTGGAAACTAGGATCATGGTCAAACAGATGATGAAACAGCACAAGGACGATAAAGCACTGTATAAGATGCTGGATGCAAGGCAGATGGCTCTGAAGCTGATAGCAAATGTCACGTATGGGTATACCTCCGCTAACTTTTCAGGTAGAATGCCCTGTATTGAAATAGGCGATTCTATTGTCGCTAAGGGAAGGGAGACGTTGGAAACAGCCATAGATTTGGTTAACAAAACTCCAAAATGGGGAGGAAGAGTGGTGTATGGAGATACTGACAGTCTTTTTATCCTCTTTGAAGGTTGTTCTCGAGCGGAAGCTTTCACCAGAGGGCAGCAGATAGCTGATGTAGTGACTGGAATGAACCCTAAACCAGTTAAGCTGAAATTTGAGAAGGTTTACCAGCCGTGTGTGTTACAAACTAAGAAGAGGTATGTAGGTATGAAGTATGAGACAGTAGATGATCCTGGAGAATATGAAGCTAAGGGTATTGAAACTGTGAGACGAGATGGGTGTCCTGCTTCAGTTAAAACATTGAAACGAGCCCTTCATATATTGTTCAAATCACGTGACATCAGCTCAGTCAAAACATTTGTTCAGAATCAGTTCCTAAAGATAATAAAGAACAAGATCTCGGTGCAGGACTATATATTTGCTAAAGAGTATCGAGGTAAAGACTCATATCGACCAGGCGCATGTGTACCCGCACTGGAGATAGCAAAACGTAGGATAAAGACTGACCCAAGAAATGAGCCGTTTGTTGGTGAGCGGGTACAATATGTGATATGTTATGGAACACCCGGACTACCACTGATCCAACTAGTTCACGAACCTGCTGACATCCTGTTCTCCAGTAACCTCCACATCAACACCATCTACTACATCACCAAAGCGATAGTGCCACCTTTACAGCGAGTGTTTGGTTTGATGGGAGTTAATGTGATGGAGTGGTACAACGAGCTACCACGTGATCTGCGGACACACTTCTCTGGTGCTACGACTCGGGGTAAACACACTATATCTCACTACTACCATACTAAACACTGTCCTTTCTGTGATAAGGTTTCTGATACACTTTGTGTTTGCTATCTGGATCGGCAGAAGGCGGGGGTTTTGTCCCAATCTCAGCTGTCTCTGCTTAAATCTCAGGAACAGTCAGTTTTTATGATTTGTTCAGATTGTTCGAATGTTCCCAGTGTTGTTGCTAATCCTGATGCGTCACATAATCGAAACTGCGTTAGTTTTGTATGTCCGGTTTTGTTTAAAAGAATCAGTATCAGAAATAGAATTTCAGAAAGACAGGTGATCAAGGACGAAGTTTTTAAATTGTATAATTGGTAAAATTTTTAACGTTTGATAATGTTTTTATTGCATAACATATTTATTAGAATGAACTGTTTTGTTAATTTGTTTGTAAAACTTCGTTTTGGATCTTCATTATATTTATTCACATCTTTCTCGTTTCTTCACGGAGGTAGGACACAGTTCCGCCCGTACATTAAAACATAATGAAACTAACTGTATACTGTACAACTATATGTGTTTCCTCTTCCTCTTATCTTAATCATCTCTTAATTTTAGGCTTATGGAAGAAAACGCTGACGACTTCAGTCAACTTCTAAGTGACTATCAGAATGCTTCGACAGCATCAAAAACGAAGGTAAACTACGACGCTATGAAGTTGTTTATACCCTGTATGTTTACATAGAGATTCCTACTACTGTTCCAAAGATGCTGTTATATTTAAAATTTACTAAAGAATGGTTAAGTTTACATGAGTTCTTGTTTTCCAGAGTAAGCACACCTAAACCAATACAATTATCCGGCGAATTGTTAATATAGTATAGTAAAGTACATGTTTCATTCAGGACAATGAACACGATGGAACGCAATTCAAGAACCCAAAACAGTATCAGAGGGATTCCTTTCCTCAGAATGGAGTTGGATCTCACAAATGTATGACTTGCAACTTTTCCTTCAGGAGCCGAGAGATGCTTTTCAACCATCTTAGGTAGGTGGGGCAGAAAAAACGGTTACAGTAAATTGGAACACTTTTTGCAACGCGCTAAATTTACTTTGTGTGCAGTTTTTGATCGAAAGCATTGCAAAAGCAATTTTCGCGGTGTAGTGACGCGCGTGCCTCAATGGATCGACGGCCATGCAGCGCACTCATGTCGTATGTCCAGTAATTATTTTCGATATCGCTAATTCTAATTAACTTAAATTTAATGCCTTCAGTACGCACGTTAACTGTGATCATGATGATTGTGACTACGTTGGTGTTGCTCAGGCAGTAGCGAAACACAAACGCGAGGAACATGAACAACCTGAATCCTTGACGGTAATTTCTTTGTTTATAATTTGCAATGTGCAGGACTGCTGGTGACTGGTGTATCTTATCTTTTCTCTTCTTCACTATCGCAGTGGAAATGCAAAAGTATAAACCCGCCTATTATATTTGAAAACACGCACAACACTGTCGTATGAAAGTATGAACTCTCTCTACAGTCCAAACAGACCGCAATGAGTGCAATCCCCCCCCCCCCCCCCCCTAATAAGCTTATAGGTATTATTTTGTGGCTAACCTAATTATGATTCATGTACCAACGCAGAGAGAGAGAGAGAGAGAGAGAGAGAGAGAGAGAGAGAGAGAGAGAGAGAGAGAGAGAGAGAGAGAGAGAGAGAGAGAGAGAGAGAGAGAGAGAGAGAGAGAGAGAGAGAGAGAGAGAGAGAGAGAGAGAGAGAGAGAGAGAGAGAGAGAGAGAGAGAGAGAGAGAGAGAGAGAGAGAGAGAGAGAGAGAGAGAGAGAGAGAGAGAGAGAGAGAGAGAGAGAGAGAGAGAGAGAGAGAGAGAGAGAGAGAGAGAGAGAGAGAGAGAGAGAGAGAGAGAGAGCAAGGGGGGAGAAAAAAAGAGCCATGCCCATTTTAATGTCACATTTGTGGTACAAAACCATCAATTAAAGGGGGGGTGTCATGTCCGCTTGTCTCATAGAATCCAAAAAGGACTAGACAGGACAGGACAGGATATAGGCGGACATAGACAGACTTTAGCAGACATTGGCGGACAAAAGTGGACAACAAAATTAGCTACATTTTGTTAAATTTTGTTAGATTTTGTTAAAATTTGTTAAAATTTGCTAATGAGGCAAGGTGATACTTTTTCAAAAAAAGTCACATTTTATGTGGTTCACCCTATACCTTACAAGACATATTTATAACGTACGAAATGTGGCGGTTTTCCGAAAATTTCGCCATATTTTCGGACCGCCAAAATTTCGGTCGTCGTAATAGAATCCGTCGCATTATCTTTTAGCTTATTTCAATGACTGTGCCTTCACTGCTTTATTTTGTTTCTAAAAAGTAATATCAAGTAAAATAAATTCTGGCATCTTGGGACAAATTATCACCACACCAATGACGAATTGAATGTCAAGCAATACAGTTTAAATTTGCATTAAAATACATGTATGTGCTAACATGAAAGTCTTACAGTCTTAATACAGACTAAGTTTGAACATGATTTTACCGAATTTCAGAAATTTCCTTACTGCTTACTGTCACAAAAAATGATGAAAAATACCCTTATTTTCTGTGACGTCCGAAATTTGACGGTTTTTGTTCAATTTCGCCATATTTTCGGACCGCCAAAATTTCGGTCGTCGCAAATTAGGCCGCCATAAATATGTCTTGTAAGGTAGATCTTGCTTTAAAGGTATTGTCTCCCATTAAATCTGGGCAAGGGGCCAAAATGGGCCAACTTTTTTTTTAGGTTTCTAAAACTGTTGAGAAAAAACTAGGACCGAAAATTTTGTAAGTCAAATATTTTTTCGTTTTCGAAGTCCGGACCTACCCTTCGATATACGATTGTGGACTCGAGGGATGCCCTTTGTAATGCGATCTCGGAAGTTTTTCTAGAAACGACTTTTGTTCATGTTTCATGCTGCCATGATCATTATGAGCCGAAAATATTGTGTCTAAATCTTGTGCGAAAAATTCTCATAATGTTTGTCCGTTAATGTCCGCCAATGTCCGCTAATGTCCTAAAAAACACGTCCGTTGTCTCATAGAATCCAAAAAGGACAGATCATAGGCGGACACACCCCCCCCCCCCCCCCCCCCCCCCCCCCCCCCCCCCCCCCCCCCCCCCCCCCCATTAAACCACTTACCACCGACCAATTTGAAAAATCTTATTCATTTGGCTTCGTCAGAGTTTTGTCGAAACTATACCAAAAAAAAACCAGTCCCGTGCCGTAACTTTTACCATTTTCTTGATTAAGCCGCTCAGAAATTACATGGGCACACACAGACAGACACACAAACAGACAGACACACAGACACACAGACAGACAGACACACACATTCTGAGATTATTGTTTAAGATAAGAAACACTATTAAAATCGATTCTGCTGATTATATAGGAGTATTGAAACTATCCCCCTCAGGTGTTCTCAATGGAGCACCCTGTCATACTTGAAGCGTGGTTGGAACAGCGTCGCAAGAACTTCCCATCCAGTGGAAACGTAAAATTGAAACAGCTCCGAGAACAAGCTAAGATTGATCATGGCATTATTGCACGAGAGAAGTCGTACACCTTTAAAGACAATAAATGGGGTGTTAAACGACATAAACCTTGTGTTCCTGAGACTGATAAAACGAAATCCCCTGATAAGGTGCTACCAAACGATCCCCTTTCGTTTATCTTAAATCCTGGGGAGAAAAAACATGTGCCCGAATCAGCAAGTTTGCTAGGGATTGGGGCGTACAATAGTTCTAGTGAATCTGAGTCAGAGGCCTCAGGAGTTCAAGTTCCAAAACTTTCGAGAGTAAACCAAACGAACCAAACGTAGGGCAAGCTTTGCGAAAATTTAAAAGATACGCCAAAATGCGAGCTGCTGATGGCAAAAAGAAGCGAGAGAAAGTGAAGTGGAACGGTGTTATGAAGTCAGGTCGACGTAGATATCAGCCCACTTTACTTCAGAAACTCTTATCCAGGGACATCATCAGGGAACATAATACTGTATTGCAGTGCGTCAGATTTATTGTGAATAACAACTTTTTCGACAAAAGTCCGCCAGAGCCTATTCAGAGTGATGTGTTGCCACAGTGCAATGAAACAGACAATACAAATCATAAGTCAAGGCAAAACCAGTCTGAGGTAGAGCTGATATAACAAAGCAGTCTACCCCATGAGTCATGACGAACAGTGTTTAATGTGGAATACTTTTTGCTTCAACTTTTTATTCTCACTTTTTTTCCTTATGGGTGAATTTTGATAACATTTTCTGGTAGTTTTTTAATCCATTATTGATATTAACTTATTGAATTTTTCACGGCGAAATCCCGGTCAGTCTCCTGCTTTGTGTTGAAATTATATCGCATTTTACCTGATCGGTTGCAAATAATTTTTTCCTAGATGTTTAAAATCTTATCGAAGAAGATGATCCAATAATATTTTTTAAACCGTTCATTGTATTTAATTTAAACGGCTTCACTTCACAGTAGCTAGTGCAAAGATGGCCACTTCAGATTTCTACCTTCGATACTATGTTGGACACAAAGGAAAATTCGGTCACGAGTTTCTAGAGTTCGAGTTCAGACCTGACGGTAAGATTATATTCTAACATCTTTGGTTTTAGTGAGCCTGAACATAACTAAATGTATTCTGCATATTCATTGTAAAATACCTGTATCTCCTCATACAAGTTGACACTTTCTGTGTTAACTTTTTACGGTTCCCATAGTTACATGGGAATGAAATTCACTGCCAGGCAAACTTTTAAATAACTCAGTGTTTGTGTTTTCAGGCAAGTTGAGATACGCTAATAACAGCAACTACAAGAACGACACAATGATCAGAAAGGAGTGCAACGTCAGTGCACCAGTTCTCAAGGTTACCATTTTCAGGGCATTAACAAATATACTATTTGTAATAATATATTCTTTTTAATATATTAATAAATATACTTTTATATACAATATACATATATTAAGAAATATATTATTTTCTGTTACAATTTCAATCTATCTTCTATGTGAATTAGTATTCGGTTTTGACACCATTCTCTCTGATAGCTGTAAAACACAATTATTAATAACAGACTTTGTGTACATTAGCAGTAATAGCTGAGAGTTGTTGAAGCCTTAATTCTTGATAAGATTTTAACTTATGCAACCTATTTGTCGTCTAGGAACTAGCCCGAGTTATAGAAGAAGCGGAGATAATGTATGAAGATGACAAGATGTGGCCAGCTCCAGACAGAATCGGTACGTTCATTCGCCTATTTGTAATTAATTGCATGTAAATGGCGAAACTTTAAAATCTAAGTTTTCTAAATGCTTACATTGTACATATTACGTTGTACGAGGACAAATTACTGCTACTAGACATCTCAACCGACAAGTAATTTTCTTTCGACACTATAAAGCTCTTATAAGCTGTAATGTACAGCTTGTAGAAGCTTTAGACTAAATTATAACGTTTAGACTAAATAATCTGAGTGAAATGTGATATGCTTATCTCAAAGGCTCTTTCCCTGACAATCTGTCAAATGGAGGGAAAGTGTACATTACTTGCGACCCTTCCTGATGACCAGGGTCCATTACGTTACTTATTTTACGGATTGGTAGTGTTGAACGCTGGTCATCATTTCGTGAAAGTTCGTTAGTCTTTGTGTTTTATTTGTGTCCTACAACTATGTTTTCACTCCGCAAATTATTAGAATTAGTTTTAAATTGAGGTTTAGTATTTCCCTCGAAATTCCAACTTGTACAGCATTAAAAGCCACTAATTTACGCGGTATTAGTGCACTAGAGTAATATAACGTTAAGGAGACATGTTGATAACACAAACCACAATAGATAGGTTCATAATATCGAAATAGTGTCAAATTATTACTGTCTATGTCTTATCTATTGTTCCCAAGGTCAAATCACTTCCAAACAACATTTTAAGCTCCAAACGATAACACCGACTCCGGTCACACCCATTTTTTTCACCAATTTTTAACAGGTAATAATCTTCATGTTATCAAGTTAATCACAAAGGAGCGTGTTTAATGCTCTCAAAGTGTGTTTGTCACACATACTTTTGTCACACATACTTTTGATAATCTTCGCCGCATGCCGCGAGATTCACTGCTGAATTTAACCTTTTTCCACCATTTATATTGAGCAAAACACTTTCATAGCTTTTAACACAGTTTTTCATCCCTAATTCGTCAATCACCTGAATTATGCCAGTTAATCCTTCGTAGGTTGCATTGTATACATTGTTACATACATTGTACATACATTGTATACAATCTGTTGAGAACTTCCCTGGATGATAACACTACTGGATATTTGGATAAGTACGTATATTTCATGGGATTGGGTAAGATATTATCAACATACTATCAGGTCTCAGAAGTCAGAAATCATCCCAGAGAGTTCCTAAAATTTCCTGCGTCAGCAAAATCCACAATTACCACTGCACTACCATACCACCTTTTTACCACATCGACGTACTCAAATAAGTAAACTTCTAAAGTTCGTAGAAGGTTCTAGAAACCAATGTGTTAACAAAATAAGGGAGAACAACTTTTAGGTCTGTACTGCCTGTTTCTCCTTGCTACCAATAATTGTTTCTTGTCAGATGATTACCCATTTCTGATTCTCAATCAACTGATTCTTGGTTAAACTTAGCTTAGGGCGATCTTCATCCTTCATCTGCTTTAACTTTTCATTCTGAAAACAAACCAAGTGAAATAATTCTGCCAACAATACTGCTTACTTACCCTCCACCATATTTGTTCACTGTACAGTGACAGTAGTCACGTAAAATGACGCCTCACAACTGATCTGATTGGGAGCTTTCCAGGACTCCGCTTTATAAATATATTAGATATAATACTGTCGATCTCCTTGTCGTCCACAGCTGCCATGATTTAATTCTAGGCTACAAGGTGAGAGGCACAATATCTCGCCGTTAAACAAGGCGAGATAAGATATCAGATAAGAGATCAATTTAAACAAACTTATACAATTAGTGCAGGTCTTTCTTTAAATGTCTCCCGCCAGCGTCTATGAAGTCCATATTTGATAGCATGCGAAATAAAGTAAGGTCCGCATTACACGAGCAACATAGCGTGCTAAGTAAGGAATCATATCATAACTTTCCTTTTAAAACGTCCTGGGCCCTCTGATATTTTAATGGTTATTTATCATGCAGTGTACGTACTTTGGTTTGCTTAGAATAACGCTAGGATTCCGCTTTTTGCACTTTACATCCCTTCAACACTACCTCACTTTAATTCACAGGAAATTTATTGTAAAATTACTCGATGTGATATGTTTTCCGTGTAAGTAAACCCAGCGTTTTAGGACCACAGCCATATTAGCAATAATGATCTAACACAATAAAATGAAATTTCATTTGGAGTAATAATGCCTGACCTTTTACCACTCTAGTGTAAGTGTCCTCACCATTTGGCGTCCCGTTGTATCTTTTGTTCATTATTTACTCTCTCTGTAAAATGTATAGTAAATGTGAGGATATAATGATCTGACCTGCATACCTGACTGGCTAAACGCGTTTAGAGATGTTAACAAATAACGTGTTAGTCAGAATGTTAGTCACGTTCTCCTCTTTTCATAGTTTTGTTTTTACACACACACACACACACACACACACACACACACACACACACACACACACACACACACACACACACACACACACACACACACACACACACACACACACACACACACACACACACACACACACACACACACACACACACACACATGCCTACATTTTACATTAGCCACCTGTCTCGGTGTGTACACACTCTTAAGTGGTCAATAAGAGACGGGGCCTAAAAGCCTACACACACACACACACGCATGATATAATGAATTAGTTAATGACCAGTATGGTGTGCAGCACAATGTAAGCGTGACAGGAGAACCGGCTCTCTAAATTATATGATCCTACAAAATACTTCCTAGCTCCCATGATAATGTTGTTTTGACTACAAAGCCTGCAGAGTGACGTGTGGTTCCTTTATTCCATTCCTCACCGGGCTTTTGTTAGGTCTACACTGTCTGTGTGTAATTCCCGTAACTTGATACACGCGTTCTGTTTAAGCACCAGAAGTCATCGTTGCGATTGGATTAAGATTGAATTATACGCCCTCTTCATCACGCGTAGCGCACATTGCTTTTGTTACGCCGTACACTTCGTATCGAAGTAGTCAACAGCTGCCCGCTATGTTTCCAGGTCCGTATCTTGTTTTATCTTTTATACACGAGCTTACCTAATCGCTTAGTATCGTCACCTGTCCGGCGTTGAGTCACACCTTTAATTTTATCAAGTTTTATGTTACTTGAAAGAGTTTTAAAATGAGCTTTGCCATCTCTACTGTTTCAGTACAAATCTTGCGGTATAAGTTTTTGTAGCGGCGTTCAGCTGAATAAGGAGTAGGAGAGGTGACGATACGATACTTTAAGGGCTCCTGATCCTCTCTTTGAATGAGACTATTGCCTTTGTTCTCCAATCGAAGATTTGCTTTCTCTATTTATGGCGTAATTTGCTGCTGGCCCCAAATACTCTACATTCAAACTCTGTGCTGATCGCCTATGTTTATTTCAGAATCTCTACAATACATCACTCTCTTTCTCCTAGTGCTGGTCCCGCCAGTTTCTGCAGGAACTGAAGCTCCCTTTCCCGCCGAGTACTTTGCTATTCTGGGATTAATCATATTTATTATTCTGGCTGCCATCGCTGCTCGCATTGCGGACTATTATCATTTGTTTGAAAACTTTAAAAAGCGGGGAAATGAGTATCCAGAGGATGATGGAAGGTTTGAGATGAAGGTTTTTAAGGGATACGGATTTGGGGATGAAGAGGACAGCCCCACTCCGGTCTTGTATGAGAAGAGAAAGCATGATAAGAGAGGATTACATTATCAGGAATTAACTAAAGAGGTTGATTCAGGAGCAGCTCGGGTCGAAAGTCAGCCGCCTCCGGTGAAACCAAAAAAACCAACCAAACAAGATAAGAAAGAACGGAAAGAGGAGAAGGAAAGAAAGTTGAGAGAAGAATTAAGTAAAGCTATATCTAAAGACGAGAAACCTGATAGCCCGTCGGGCGTGTTTGTGTCTCCTGGACAGCCCAGAGCAGCTGCTGTTCTATCACCAAAAGCCAGAAGAGCTATGTCTCCACCTCCGCCCAATCCTAGATCCGACGTTCCTACATCCCCGTCTCAGAAAAGAGCCATGTCCCCACCATCACGGAAAACTGCAGACCCCCTGTCTCCCGCACCACCTCCTAGAACTAAAGCTCCCCTTTCACCACGGACAAGAAACCCTCTTTCACCACCGATACCTCGCAAACCTATTCTCTCACCTAAAACCATGTACAAAACCTTACCTTCTAACAAAGCAGAGCACACTGGGGCGGGTGAGGCTGGTATCACCCCCGCTGGAGGATACAACTACTCTACCCTTCCTGCGGGGTACTACCCCCCACATCCTGGGGGTTACCCCCACCCTGGTGGTTACCCTCCAGTAGCAGTCTCACCAGTATATCCTGGTTACCCGTACCCTCATCCTGGTGTACCTGGTCATCCTGCCTACCTTCCTGGAGCCCAGTCTGAAGAAGGTGCTGCACCTTTACCCGCACAACCTGGGGCGTACCACATGGCGTACCCGTACCCTCACCCCGGATATTACCCTCCACATCCGGCTTATCCTCCAACTACTCCAGGAGTCTCACAGAGCAAACATCAGTCTCAGTTATAGTATGTTTTGTGATTTTGTTACTTTTTTCTGATTGTATTACCGGACAGTCGACTGAGTTTCTTGACGTACAAACTACACAGATTGTGAAAAACGTGCACGCGAACATTAATCATAAATAATAATAATTCATGAAACAAAAGATAGTCAAATATGTAATTATACGTACATTTATTAACTAATAAATACAAAATTAGAATTAGAATGGCCGTTTTCAAGGACTACGATGGTAGTTGACCTACTGTATACGGTAAAATAGCTGTATACCTATCTATACCTCAATTTTAATGTGTATCCTCAAATTCAAATAATCTTCATATTTGTATACTTGAGCTTCTAGAGTTAGAGTGAGGAACTATTTTTAGAATCCAACAAGCATGACCAGGATTGTCAATTACTATACTTATAATCTCCCTATACCTCCCTATAATTCCAGGCCGGCAGGAGCTTGAAATAGTACACAAGAACCAACACATCTGCTTCAACACAAGCAAGATAGGAAGTCTGGTAGACGTAAACAGCAGTAAGGACCCTGACGGTCTGCGAGCTTTCTACTACTTGGTTCAAGACTTGAAATGTTTCGTCTTCTCTCTCATCGGACTCCATTTCAAAATTAAGCCCATCTAATTTTACCAATGCTTACATTTAACCCTATATAAACGTTATTGATATAGAATATCTTATTTACAGCTAGAGTCCTGCTCTTCTAAGTTGAAAAGGAATCCTTTTTAATCGTAATACAGTTAATCCCTTTTCCAGCCATAATGCACCTGCTATCTTTACTTACTTTGTCGGTTGACTGGAAGTTCGAGCCCCTATTTTTGAATTTATAGCGCATACTACCGTATAATCATGATTTCAAAGTTTCTTTAAGAAATTATTTTTTGATGAGGTTGAGAGTAAAATTGACAATGGAAAATGTGGGCGCTGGCGCTAGCTGCTACAGAAATACTGCGCTCAGTAATCTTTTACTTATTTTGTATAATTTAAGACTTTAAACATTTTGCTGTTCATATGTCATACGAGAGTCGTTCTTGAACAAAAACAATACAAAATGAAGTATTCACTTGGAGTTGGAGCGCATTTAAACAACTCTGATCATAAATATCATTGGTTTGATCGGAAAGAAAACGACCGAAAGGAAAACTATACGAGCAAGAGATCACTTGTAGGTTTATAACCTACCAAGACGCGCGCCGAGTTGGACTCGTCGACGGTCTTGAAACAAATATTTTACGAGTATCACCCGTTAAGAGGTCACCATATAAGTATAATATATATGTAATAAGCGCCATGAGTTAGCACAACATTTTTGTCTCCGATTTCGATAAATTTGGTACCAAATGCTGCCTTGTGATATTGTGCATTGCAAGAGTGTGAAAAGGATCGACCATTGTTAATGATCTGGCCCGGCGCGCTACTTCGTAGCTCGTGCCATAACATTTCGAGAAGAAAGCGGCGCGCGCTACTTCGAAGAAATTTAGACGAGTAACATACGTCAAGAAAAGGACGAAAACTGGGTAATTACTTGCTTAAAAATAAAATGCCTATACTCCTAAAATATTGAACATTTTGAAATAATTGTCACAGGAGCGCGCGTAATAAGCTTGTATCACGTCGTGACCGCCATTTTCATTTCGCTTAGTGGTATCGGGACGAAAGCCACGATGGTGGATAAGGGGTTGTAGCGCGATGCACTACTGGGTCGCGCGCGCATCCAATGTCCAATAATGCTTGGCGAGATGCACCACTGGGCCTCGCCGAGCTAGGAAGGATTGACATCGTGAATCAAAATGGGGACGGGGGGTACCAATGGCATAAAATGGCATAAATGGAAATTTTTATTAGCCAATTCTCCATTTATGCCATGAATTTAGGTCTTCATATTTGACCTTTAGGATGACTTTAAATTCGCATATTATTATTAGTACTTGAATAAGAGACATTTGTCATGCTTTATAACGCTTGGAATGATCGGATCCATGCAATGATCGTTAAAGATTCATATGACAAATAAAGAAAATAGAAATTTATTATATCAAACGGGGGGTACCAATGGCATAGAATTTCATAAAATGGCGTACGTTTTATAGCATAAATTGTAATTGGAAATTTTTATTGGCCAATTCTCCATTATGCCATTTATGCCATTGGTACCCCCGCCACGATACAGCCGCGCACTCGTGCGCTTCACATAGCCATGAGTCTGCGTGTACTCAGTACTGCTACTACTAGTATATGCTTACTGCGTGACGCGCTTTACCATTTGCGCTTGTTTCACGGTCGCGCGCTACTGCAAGCGAGAGCAGAGAGGGCTCTTGTTAGAGCAACTCGTGCACCGCGGGCTTACAACGTGTGACAATAATGAGCTTGATCAGACATTGTAGCGTGATGCGTTACTGCATACTGGGCCGCGCTACTGGGCCAAAATTACAATATCTGAAGGACCTAATTTTTCAAAAATTTCATACACAATACAAGGGATGATCTATACCATATACACCCCCAGCGGGTTGGGAACAGGGTTTTCAGTTTTGCTTGTACTTGTAGTTGGCGACGTTATTGTAGTGCGATGCACCACTTGGCCGTGCCGCGCATCAAATAATGAATAATGCTTCAGCTCTGTTGATCTCGCAACCAACTTCGGTGGATCGGCAAAATGCATTAATTGACGATGTCAATTCATCGCAGTTCAGCGCGGCTCAGTAACGCATCGCGCTACAAGTACCCAGCAAACCCTACCGGCTGGGATATGTGCGCGTATAACATGTTATGTGCTCATCCAATGCTTGATTGACGATGTCAACCCATCGAGATCGTTGCTCTGCGAAGTTAACGGGTGATACTCGTAAAATATCTGTTCCATACATTTATAGGACCGTCGACGAGTCTTACCTGAGGACCCCAGGCTATTATGTTCGAATAGAGCTTAGGCGGAATGACAGGCTGAGCGCGGCCCAGTAACGACGAGTCCAACTCGGCGCGCGTCCTGGTAGGTTGCAACGATCGACGATGCGAAGCGAGAATGCTAGTTCGCGCGGCGCGTCGAAGTCCTCCAAATCCATTGCGAAACTAAAAGTGGTGAAAATGGAAGAATCGACTGTAGAGTGATTTAGCGCGACCGACAAAAATCATTAACCATTGCACATTGGATACCTTATTACCCCCCCATCCCCATTCAAATAAATTGACTACAATTTAAGTTGCAACTATAGAATTAAAAGTGGAGTCATGGTATGAAAATGACTTAATTACACGAATAGGACCTGAAGATGAGCGCCATTTGCTATTTCGGGAGTTGAATATAAATATTTTGATCAGGATAGACTTCACCCTCAGGATAGACTTCTGACCTTTTGACTGATAACACCGATGCCCTTCAATGGTTGGAATTCGTTGATAGTGAACATTCCCCAGTACAGAAGAAAGGCTTCAGATCGTTTACCTACGACTTTAAGGCCCTCTATGACTCTTTAACACCACCCCTCGTCATAGAGGCCTTAAGGTCCGCTATGTCATCATGTAGAGAAGATTGGTCTGAAGACTTCTGCCAATGGCTCACACAACTGGTGAAATAAGCCTCCGATCCTCTGTTGGGGTGTTCGATCAAAATTGGTTCATACAGCTCATTGGTATCCCTACGGGTGGATCACTATGTGTCCAAATCGCAAACATAGCAGTCTACTACCTAATGAACAAATGTGTTTATAGTAACCCAGAGCTCATGAAGAAGATCGTATCAGCCAGGCGTTACATTGACGACGGAGCAGGTTTGTTTGAGGGAACTACAGATGGGTTCAAAATTTGGATTGCAGATGTCAACAAAGCACTCCTCCCCCATGGCCGAACCATTGATGAGTACCAAATAGAAGATCCTGGTAAATACGTATCTTTCCTTGACATAATGTTCACTTTCGATTCCTTGGGCTCCCTCCAAACGGATTTGTTCATAAAGAAAACGGACTCTCGTTCATACCTACACTTTAAAAGCTCCCACCCAAACCATATCTATTCCGGTATCGTATACTCTCAATGCCTTAGACTCAGAAGGATCATCAACTGCCAAGAACGCCTCAAAGGACACCTCGACAACCTCAAAAAAGCCTTCCTTGCTGCGTGTTACCCTAGGAAAATGGTTGAGAACATTGTCATTAGTAATAAGGTTCTCAATTGATTATCTTAAAATTTATTCCGCTTTTATTTTTATTCCCACTCGACTCTCGATTCCTTGCTAGCAGTCCGGTTAATTTAGTACCTTTAGTGGGTCTCATTTAATCATTAGCTCTAATTAAAGAACCTCTCACCCTCTCAGAAAGCTTTATTATTTTTATCTTTTTACTACACTTACTAACACGTGCATATTACAAAGGAGCAATAGTTTGCGGAGGCATTCTAGAACGGTATATATTTTAGCTTTCAGTTTCTGTTTCATTATCTTAAAATTTATTCCGCTTTTATTTTTATTCCCACTCGACTCTCGATTCCTTGCTAGCAGTCCGGTTAATTTAGTACCTTTAGTGGGTCTCATTTAATCATTAGCTCTAATTAAAGAACCTCTCACCCTCTCAGAAAGCTTTATTATTTTTATCTTTTTACTACACTTACTAACACGTGCATATTACAAAGGAGCAATAGTTTGCGGAGGCATTCTAGAACGGTATATATTTTAGCTTTCAGTTTCTGTTTCATTATCTTAAAATTTATTCCGCTTTTATTTTTATTCCCACTCGACTCTCGATTCCTTGCTAGCAGTCCGGTTAATTTAGTACCTTTAGTGGGTCTCATTTAATCATTAGCTCTAATTAAAGAACCTCTCACCCTCTCAGAAAGCTTTATTATTTTTATCTTTTTACTACACTTACTAACACGTGCATATTACAAAGGAGCAATAGTTTGCGGAGGCATTCTAGAACGGTATATATTTTAGCTTTCAGTTTCTGTTTCATTATCTTAAAATTTATTCCGCTTTTATTTTTATTCCCACTCGACTCTCGATTCCTTGCTAGCAGTCCGGTTAATTTAGTACCTTTAGTGGGTCTCATTTAATCATTAGCTCTAATTAAAGAACCTCTCACCCTCTCAGAAAGCTTTATTATTTTTATCTTTTTACTACAATTACTAACACGTGCATATTACAAAGGAGCAATAGTTTGCGGAGGCATTCTAGAACGGTATATATTTTAGCTTTCAGTTTCTGTTTCATTATCTTAAAATTTATTCCGCTTTTATTTTTATTCCCACTCGACTCTCGATTCCTTGCTAGCAGTCCGGTTAATTTAGTACCTTTAGTGGGTCTCATTTAATCATTAGCTCTAATTAAAGAACCTCTCACCCTCTCAGAAAGCTTTATTATTTTTATCTTTTTACTACACTTACTAACACGAGCATATTACAAAGGAGCAATAGTTTGCGGAGGCATTCTAGAACGGTATATATTTTAGCTTTCAGTTTCTGTTTCATTATCTTAAAATTTATTCCGCTTTTATTTTTATTCCCACTCGACTCTCGATTCCTTGCTAGCAGTCCGGTTAATTTAGTACCTTTAGTGGGTCTCATTTAATCATTAGCTCTAATTAAAGAACCTCTCACCCTCTCAGAAAGCTTTATTATTTTTAACTTTTTACTACACTTACTAACACGTGCATATTACAAAGGAGCAATAGTTTGCGGAGGCATTCTAGAACGGTATATATTTTAGCTTTCAGTTTCTGTTTCATTATCTTAAAATTTATTCCGCTTTTATTTTTATTCCCACTCGACTCTCGATTCCTTGCTAGCAGTCCGGTTAATTTAGTACCTTTAGTGGGTCTCATTTAATCATTAGCTCTAATTAAAGAACCTCTCACCCTCTCAGAAAGCTTTATTATTTTTAACTTTTTACTACACTTACTAACACGTGCATATTACAAAGGAGCAATAGTTTGTTCAAGAACTGAACAAGAACCAAATTCGAAAACTGGAACATCTAAATGACTCCGCAACCCAGGAATCAACTACTCAGTTATTATCGCTCAATAATCGGTTTGGTATCGACGTTACATACTTTATTATTATTTTTTTTTAAAGCTGATTTTAAAAACCAGGGAATTAAAGTTACCCTCCTAAGGCTAACATTAAATCGCTGATTTTATTTATATATATCACCTTTTTTTTGTTCTTTCTTTTCCTTCAAAACATTCCAGTACATTGTGCAGAAAGTTGGAGATGAAGCCGTAGTACGTACATGTAGCATTGCACTGGATCGAACTTGCAGAGTGTGGTTTCCTCCAGTCTGCGCCGCGCGCTTATATAAACATACGCGGCGCAGATCGACTGGAGGAGATCGCACTGTGTAGGCTCCGGTGTAATGTGATATGTATGTAAGACGGCTTTACAAATTTTGGAAGCATGTAGGGATATATATCTGATACCAATCGTATATACTAAAAATACTCTAGCACAATTGTAACTGCAGTTTTACAGAACTCTAAATGCTTAATGAACACTCTTGCAGGTACCACCCGTATTCACACTCAGACCTGAGTTTAGTCATTTTCCGATACGAGATTGGGGACGGGTTCTATAAACAAACAAACAAACAAACAAGGTTCTCAATTCAACAAGATCACTGTTACGCAAAGTTCAATCTCCTGATGACCAGACTTCTTTACACCCACCAATCAGGGTCATATCTACTTATGGTAGTGATGATGATTTGGTGTCTGTGACTAAGAAGTATGAAGAACACCTCTCAAGAACAAGGAGTTTCAGTGAAAGTGACACTGTTGAAACATCCCAAGAGACCTCCTCAACAGCTTCCACGCCTAGGAAGAAAATATTCAGTTACACCAAGAAAACAGGGCCAAGCCTAAAATCTCGCCTCGTCAAATTGAAAGAACTTGCTTTAGGAGCTAAACATGGTCCAACCAGCAAATGCCATATGCCAAGATGCAAATGCTGCGAACTTGTCAAAGGCAGCCATGAATTCAAAGTTAACGGCGAGAAGGTTAAAGCTTCCCCTGGAAACTGCCTGAGTTACAACATCATTTATCTGTTCCAATGTAGTTTCTGTAGAAAGGCTTACGTCGGTCGCACTACTCGCTCTCTACGGGCTAGAACTGGAGAACATAGGGTCAAATATTATAAACTATTAAATGGTGATAAGGTAGATGAAACAAGTGATGAATATAGTTTGGGCTTACATTTGTTGGATCATGGTTTTAAACAAAGGGAGGATTTTAACAAAATTTTTAATGTTTCAATTATTGATAATTCTAGTCCTAAAACTTTAGAAGTTCGTGAACATAAATATATTCAACAACTCAAGACTTTAAAACCTTTGGGAATAAACACTATAAATCCTTTTGGCCTTCCGTTCCTCCTAACATCTTAATTTTAATTATTATATAACCGTTTTAAGAGTGTTCAGATTTTTAAAGGAATTTTGGGTTTTACTAACTTTTTACAATTTTTAGGCTTATGTCACTGAAGATGACGCCTTGCAACATGTTTGACGATAGCCTGTAAATTGATAGTTTGATCTCAGTATTTACAACAAATCATCTAGCTTGATTGATTCAAAGGGAGAATTAAATTCCTCTGTCACCCTTATACAAATGTTATAGCAAATAGGTGACAACAGATAACACTCGCTCCGCTTCTAGAGTAACGTCTATCAGATAGCTTTGCGTGCCGTGTCTATATATATTGTAGATTAGACAATATGAATAATATTTACGTTCGATTTTCTACAGCCATTTTGTGCACTTTGTTTCAGGTCTATTGATTTTCAGAGAGATAAGTAGTTTTGTCGAGAATTAGTTATAATTTCAATTAGGTAAGACCTAGAAATGAAACAAATTATCTTGGTTTTCCATAGAAGGGCTGTAATTCATCGATTGCTACACCGAACATAAAAAATCATAAATTAAATAAGGTAAAAGTATTTGATTGGGCCTCGGAAAGTTCACCATCACCGCATTAGTGCAAATGTTTATGAAAATATTCCGATGACCAACTGTAGCCAACCGGTCTTGGACTCTAAATCTTTCATACCATCTTCGAGATTTCCAATGAATTCTAATCTCAACAATTTAGCCAGTCGACTATTATTATATCCCCTACCCTGGTATAGCCCGTCGGCCATCATTCAGACATACCATAAATTAAATATTGTTATTATCATTATCATATTTTTATACATTTTTGCTTTACTACACTGAAACTATAAAAGAACTAGACTTTATATATCAGAGCGACTTGCTTTTTAACAATCGTTCGATGCAATAATTGTAAAAATGGTTATCCTAAGAAACTGTAATTTTCATCCTGAGTTCCTGGGTTCAGCTTTAATGTGATCAGACTGTCTATGCAGGGGAGGTGGAGGTAGATTGTATCTCATTGTGGAGCTGACTTGGGGTCTGGGGGCTCTCTGTAGAGGGGGTGGTGGAGGAGGAGGTGGAGGAGGCGGCGGTGGAGAGTCTTCCACTTCCTCCTTTAAAGGAACGTCCAGATCTGCTTTTATGATGGGTGTTCTGGTGTCCAACTGCTCGTTTTTCATCCGCTGTTCCAGTTTTTTAAGGCTGGCTTCTTTACTTGGATCGTGCCAGTCAGACTCTGTTTTAATTTTCGTTTTTTTAAGTGAATGTTTGTTACGTTCTTCAGATGCGAAATCCCGTTTCAGTTCAAAGTCTCGAGGAACTGTCCTGTGTTCGTGCATTGGGGGCAGTTTGGGTTCATGAGATGTCTTATTTTCGAAGAGTGGCGGACGGTTATCACGTACTGGAGCAGGAGGTCTGTGATCGTGGGAATGCTGCCCTGGTCTGTGTTCACCACTTCGACCACTGTGGAGAGGGTGATCTTTTCTTTCTTCCCCCGGCCGAGTGATCAGAGGCGAAGATTTGAACTGTTCTCTGCTAAGACTCGGCGATGATTTGAACTGTTCTCTGCTAAGACTCGGCGATGATTTGAACTGCTCCCTACTAAGACCCGGCGACGATTTATGTTCCCGACTAAGATGTGGGGACGATTTATGCTGTTCGTTTTGCCGGACGATGTGAGGAGACGATTTGTGAAGTTCGTTTGATGAAGGTCTGGAGGCCGATGGAATAGCGATGGGCCGCTTGCCGTCCGTCTCATGTCGATGGTGTTCATGGTTTGAGCGCCGTTCTTCAACTTTGTGGGATGAACTAGAACCGTTCACTTTTGTTTTGGTGATAGCACTACCGATAAGGAAGTCAAGTTTGTCGCTCACTGACTTCTCCATAGCACCAGGGTTGTGGGAGACACCGTGATGAGGATTAGGAAGATGGTTACCAGCCTGGAAATATTAAGTGTTAGATTTACAGTAGAGAATCTAGTAAATTCGAAGTGATAGAAAGATATACAGAAAAGAATTTAAGCATGATTATTAAATTTAATTACGAATCCTCGTGATACAACATGTTCATCAGCACATCAATTTAGACTATGAAACTCAGTGTGCTCGAGAATAATGATCTTAAATAACTAACTCTGTTTTGATGGTCACCCTCGATTCGTGGTCTCTTGACAGCATCTCTTCTTGTTAAGCCGAGGGATATTGGCAATTGAGGAGGCTGGAGGGATATGACATCAGCGATATAGTAGAATCAGAAAAGTTTACCATACGACCAATAATTAGTTCAATAACTAGATGACTTCAATAAAGAGTACAATCACTGAGTTTGAGTTTATTTTAAAACAGCCGAAGTTTATATTTGTAAAAATCGTACCCTTATCATCTTTTGCTTTAGCTTGGTGGGAGTATTTTCAAGAATCTTTAAAAATTCGTTGGCTATTGCTGAAATGATTTAATTGATTTAAAGCAAGTAAGATAGAAGAACCCAAAAGACCACTCGAACATTTCAAGTACTTGAGATTCTTTCTAAAAAACAAAAAGCTATCGCTGATCGAATTCGTTAGCTCAGTAAATTATTTACAATTGAGCTATTTGAACTCAGTAAATTATTTACAGTTGAGCTGTTCTAAGGTTATGTCAGATCCAAGCAGCTCCCACCAGTTCCTGTCTGGATTTGGATGGTCGATCTGAAAACGAGATACCATCAACAGCCCTGAATTTTTGAAATTTGTCTAGAATTCAATGCGATATTATTAATAATTTCTTACATTTTCTAGTTCAAGCCAGGACTATAATCTACTGACCACAAACACCAAATTCAGCAACTCGTTACCTCGAAGTTAGTCCACTTGCACGCTATATGGACACACACGGCAGCACCGAGGGCAGGTTTATACTGGAGGCAGAAGGTGGTGAGGTGGAGGCTTTGTGTAGCCATGAAGTAGGAGGACCGGGCCAGGTCGTTCACGTGACCAATACCGCCAGTCGTGCCTCCTTCGTTCGAGGAGCCGTTCGTCACTGCAGGGGGTGTATTTGATAAATAGTCAGTATGGTAATATTTTAATAGCACCAACGTTGGTTACGATGAACAGATAACGCCTATTGCATTGGTAAATAATGGTATTTCACGGCGGATGTAAATGGACTGAATATTATAAATAAAATTTACATAATCTATAAATAGGAGACTGTAGAGACGTGTTAATGCTTACCTTTAAGTTGTTGAACTGCGCGCACCACGTGCGTATGAGGGTGGTCGACCGTCACCTCAAAACCTGTAAAAAAGGGGGAGCCCGTTACAACGGGAGTGGGTCTAACAGCGAAATAAAAGGGTTGTTTGGATTATATTGCTGAACAACAGACTTTACCACATTGTATGTCTTGTTAAGGTGGTACGGAAAGGAGAGATGGCGATATCATATTTTACCATACAAATATCCAAGCTGTGTGCTAAATTAATAGGAGAACTGGAATGAATTGGAGAAGCTATGTCCCATGTTTTAATTGGATTTTTGACTTATATTGAAAAATGCTTCAATTTCGACTGTTAAAATCGCAAAAGTTTTATAATGGGCACGAGAGGAAAGTAAAAAGAGAGGAAAGGAAAATGTTCGACAGTATTTGATTATTATATATACTATATAGGAACAAAACAAGAACTTTAGTGGGACTAAAATTTGGCTACTTGCTTTAAAAAAAGCTTAACTAGAGTCTATGGCAAATCTACAAAACCGTTTGATTGCGAATATGTGACTTGCAAATAAGTCATTTTTATAGTCAAGTTACAAGGTTAGTACTACTAATTTCTTTTCAATTCTTTACTTATTTCATTTTCTTTACTTATTTTCTTTACTTATTTTCTTTACCAATTTTCTTTACTTATTTCATTTTCTCATTTAAGAAACTTTCTTTCTTTTTTACTTTTTGTTTCTTTTTGACTATCTTATTTTCTTCTCTTCTCTTTTCTTTTATTTGTTACTTACCAATTTTTCTTTTTTCTTTTCTTTCCTTTTTTATTTAATCGTGGTGTCTAACTGTGACGCTACTACTATCACAGCAGCTGAGGATGCCACACCCAGAGCAGCACTGCAACACTTCAACAACTGTAGCACTCCAGACGTAGCAGCAGCTAAATTAGTGAAGAGCAAAAACTATTAATACCGTTAAAAACGTACATCACGAATTTGATATATTCAAAATATGACCAAGTTATATAGAATGTAGCGATAAAAGCCTTCTCAGGATATGGAGACATCATTCACCAATAACCCTCAATATGTCTTGCTCCGATATAGATAGTGGTCCATACTATCCATACAAACCTATTCAGGATTCGGGGAACCCTCAATTCCAATAATTACAAAAATTTATCAATAACATCTCTACGGCATTGGTCGGAAAGAAGGGATCTAAAAATAGGAGATGTATCGGACGATTACCATTACATTTATTGAGATGGATATGGACCTACTAACCCTGACCTACTAACCCTGACCTACTAACCCTGACCTACTGACCCTGAACTACTAACCCTGAACTAGTGAAACTACTGACCCTGACCTACTGACCCTGACCTACTAACCCTGACCTACTAACCCTGAACTACTGACCCTGACCTACTGACCCTAACCTACTAACCCTGACCTACATATGACCCTAACATAAATGCCTAAATTCCTTTTGATGTCAGCAATTTCATAATTCGATCACAACTAAATAAAACACGCTTATATCAAAGAGAGTAAGGATTATTAACAGTTCAATGTTTTAACCCGCCATACCAATGTGATTCAGTCGTAGATCGAACAAATTATCTTAGATTTTTGCTTACATAAATAATCGTGAATAAAGGTGGAGAAAAGTAAAAATAGGGGAAAACGTGACATTAAAGATACTGCAAGTCTCGCGAGGACACAATTATGGAAGACAACTTCCTACAGGCAGAAATAAGCCTGTGAACTTGAACAGACGAAATCTGACTAATATTAAAATCTAAAATTGATTGAATATTAAAATCAATTGATAAATTAGTATTTGTAATTTATTATTTTACAGTTGAAATTGCAACAGGATCCGGCCAGACTCGGATATCGCCCGTATCAAATCACCAAGGACATGAGCCGGAAATAGCCCTATAAGGAGCAGCAATACCTAGCCTTTACCCATTGGTTTGTGGAGTCTACAGAAGGAAAGATCGCTGTCGCTGACCTACAGGGTATAGACTATAGGGGATACCCTCATGGACCCCACGTTGATAACTGGATCCACTAAACTAGACAGGCATTGTGATCTTTTTTTCAATGCAAATTTTGAAGAAGGTGCTATAAAGAAACTGATTAGTGGTCACACATGCAACGACATCTGTCACCAAATGGGCTTGAAGTTAAACTTAAAGTAACGCATCTAATTAATTATCCGGGCCCAGTTCAGTAATATCACTAACCACCGCCTTATCGAATCTAGTATCTCTGCAGACCGCACCAGTTAAATCTTTTATTTATATTTGATAAGATTATTTCTCTACATTTTAATAATTTATAGATCCCGATATCATCGTGTCTGAAGTAGGTAGTATCATAAAATATACGCACATAAACTGTGATCTTCGTATCGTTTTAAATCGCTAACACTTTCAATTAATTGTATTACATTCGCAAGGGGGGGGGGGGGGGGGGGGGGGATATTGATGATATTCAAAACTTTGTTACCTTATTCTGAAAAAGCCCACAACAAATTTTTGATTTATTGATAACTTTTTATTTATTAAATTGAGAAATTATTGTCTGTGTTCCTTGTCAATCAGAGTATTCTCCACGATCAAAGGTGTAACCATTAAAAGTATTTCAAGATATTTTCATCAGGTTCGCTCGATAATTGATACAGCATATAACAGAGTTCAAACGTTGTTGATACGTTGATAGGCTATTGAGTAGCTATATTCAGGTACATAATTTGATCATCGATCCAAATTATTTATCAGTATTTAGTATTTACATTTTTAAACATTGTAGGTAGTTGCTATGTCAAGAATGGGGCGACCCACGGAACTGGAAAAGATCAAGAAAAAGAAGGATGAGCTAATGTCTGATGTCATCAAATAGCAGTGAAAGCTGTAAATAAGATTTCACTAATGAAGAGCATTACGTGGAAGGATTGGTTTAACATCTTCAACAACAATGGTCTAAAGCTGTCAGAAAGTCAGATAAATCATGTGTTTAAAAGAAAGGAGAGCACACGGCGGCGGTTAACAGACGCTATGTACCAAACTCTAAAATGCGCAATGAAAAATCCCGAGAAATACCTTCTACTGAAAAGGACCGTCCATCGGGTGGAAACGCAAGCAACCCACTGCGAGGAGGTAGGAATTCCAACGCCTGCGAATCTATCCCTACCAGGTCATGAACTTCACCCTGACGATCCGCAACCGACAGCAGTAGAGGTAATGACTATGTTGAAAGTAGTGTCAGCATGGGTCAAGATCAACGGGTCTGCTACCCATTGGTTTGTGGAGTCTACAGAAGGAAAGATCGCTGTCGCTGACCTACAGGGTATAGACTATAGGGGATACCCTCATGGACCCCACGTTGATAACTGGATCCACTAAACTAGACAGGCATTGTGATCTTTTTTTCAATGCAAATTTTGAAGAAGGTGCTATAAAGAAACTGATTAGTGGTCACACATGCAACGACATCTGTCACCAAATGGGCTTGAAGTTAAACTTAAAGTAACGCATCTAATTAATTATCCGGGCCCAGTTCAGTAATATCACTAACCACCGCCTTATCGAATCTAGTATCTCTGCAGACCGCACCAGTTAAATCTTTTATTTATATTTGATAAGATTATTTCTCTACATTTTAATAATTTATAGATCCCGATATCATCGTGTCTGAAGTAGGTAGTATCATAAAATATACGCACATAAACTGTGATCTTCGTATCGTTTTAAATCGCTAACACTTTCAATTAATTGTATTACATTCGCAAGGGGGGGGGGGGGGGGGGGGGGGGGGGGATATTGATGATATTCAAAACTTTGTTACCTTATTCTGAAAAAGCCCACAACAAATTTTTGATTTATTGATAACTTTTTATTTATTAAATTGAGAAATTATTGTCTGTGTTCCTTGTCAATCAGAGTATTCTCCACGATCAAAGGTGTAACCATTAAAAGTATTTCAAGATATTTTCATCAGGTTCGCTCGATAATTGATACAGCATATAACAGAGTTCAAACGTTGTTGATACGTTGATAGGCTATTGAGTAGCTATATTCAGGTACATAATTTGATCATCGATCCAAATTATTTATCAGTATTTAGTATTTACATTTTTAAACATTGTAGGTAGTTGCTATGTCAAGAATGGGGCGACCCACGGAACTGGAAAAGATCAAGAAAAAGAAGGATGAGCTAATGTCTGATGTCATCAAATAGCAGTGAAAGCTGTAAATAAGATTTCACTAATGAAGAGCATTACGTGGAAGGATTGGTTTAACATCTTCAACAACAATGGTCTAAAGCTGTCAGAAAGTCAGATAAATCATGTGTTTAAAAGAAAGGAGAGCACACGGCGGCGGTTAACAGACGCTATGTACCAAACTCTAAAATGCGCAATGAAAAATCCCGAGAAATACCTTCTACTGAAAAGGACCGTCCATCGGGTGGAAACGCAAGCAACCCACTGCGAGGAGGTAGGAATTCCAACGCCTGCGAATCTATCCCTACCAGGTCATGAACTTCACCCTGACGATCCGCAACCGACAGCAGTAGAGGTAATGACTATGTTGAAAGTAGTGTCAGCATGGGTCAAGATCAACGGGTCTGCTACCCATTGGTTTGTGGAGTCTACAGAAGGAAAGATCGCTGTCGCTGACCTACAGGGTATAGACTATAGGGGATACCCTCATGGACCCCACGTTGATAACTGGATCCACTAAACTAGACAGGCATTGTGATCTTTTTTTCAATGCAAATTTTGAAGAAGGTGCTATAAAGAAACTGATTAGTGGTCACACATGCAACGACATCTGTCACCAAATGGGCTTGAAGTTAAACTTAAAGTAACGCATCTAATTAATTATCCGGGCCCAGTTCAGTAATATCACTAACCACCGCCTTATCGAATCTAGTATCTCTGCAGACCGCACCAGTTAAATCTTTTATTTATATTTGATAAGATTATTTCTCTACATTTTAATAATTTATAGATCCCGATATCATCGTGTCTGAAGTAGGTAGTATCATAAAATATACGCACATAAACTGTGATC